GTTTCTATCAGAGATAATTAAAGGCTTATAACTTGAATAGTATTCATATTGTATCCTAGTTTGTAGACGTCTTTATGGTCTGGGATCCCCTGTCCACTAAAATGTGTTTTTCTCTGCTGTAACTATTTCCTTTAACTTAGATAGTAATAAAGATAAAATTCAACCAAATTTAATTAATCATATGATGGAAAATTTATAAATCAGGGAAATAATTTTTAATCCCTGATGTCTTAGAAAACTATTTTTGATTCAATGGCTATATTAAATTATGTTCATGACAAAAAAAAATGTATGTCTCTATAAATGGTGTAAGCACTTTTTTAGCTCACCTGAGCCAAAGGCTCAAGTGATCTTTTCTGATCAAAATTTGTCCGTCATCTGTCGTTGTTGTTGTCTTTGTCATCGTCATTGTTGTAAACTTTCCACATTTTCATCTTCTTCTCAAGAACCACTGGGCCAATTTCAACCATATAATTTGCATTCTGAACAAAGAATTTTTATCTTCCTTGTGGAATAAAGGAAATTTGTTCAAATCATCAATAGGAATATGTAAGAAAAATCTTTTAAAATCTTCTTCTCAAGAACCAATGGGCCAGGAAAGATGAAACTCAAGTGGAATCATCCTCAGATAGTGTAGATTCAAGTTTGAAGCCAACATGGCCACGCCCTTTAAAAATTTCCTCAAGAACCAGGGGAGATGAAATAATTATGAATTCAGAGAAAAATTAATGGAATCAAAGTTTTACATAAAAAATCTTCTTCTCAAAAACCAATGGGCAAGGAAAGATGAAACTCATGTGGAATCATCCTCAGGTCAAATGTACATAGGAAGTCTTTAAAAATAAGAACCACTGGGCCAAATTTGTTCAAATCATAGGAAATATATGAAAAATCTTTAAAAATCTTTTTCTCAAGAACCCTGGGCAAGGAAAGATGAAACTCATGTGGAATCATCCTCAGGTAGTGTAGATTCAAATTTGTTCAAATCATGACCTCCGGGGGGGCCGAAATGGCCGATCAAAGTTTAACGTAGGAATGTATAGGAAAAATCTTTAAAAAAATCAAATCTTTTTCTCAAGAACCACTGTGCTAGGAAATATGAAACTCGTGTGAAATTGTCCTCAGATAGAGTAGATTCAAGTTTGTTCAAATCATGACCTCCGGGGATAGGGTGGGGCCAAAATGGCTGATCAAAGTTTTACATAGGAATATATAGGAAAAATCTTTAAAAATCTTCTTCTCAAGAACCACTGGGCCAGGAAAGATGAAACTCATGTGGAATCATCCTAAGGTAGTGAAGATTCAAGTTTGATCAAATCATTACCCCCAGGGGAAGGGTGGGGCCAAATGGCCGATAAAAGTTTTACATAGGAATATATAGGGAAACCATTTAAAATCTTCTTTTCAAGTATTTCAAAGCCATGCTTAGTGATATTTATAGGGAATCAACCTCAGGTAGTTTAGATTCTAGTTTGTTCAAATCATGACTCCCCTGGTTAAAATTCAAGCCCCCCAACTTCAGTTAGCTTTCAGTTCTGATCTGTTATGTGCTTTTTCCCTAGCCAATTGCTCAGGTGAGCAATGTGGCCCCTGGGCCTCTTGTTTACTCAATACAATTGATTGTATAAAAATTAAAAAGCAATTTCAATAGGCAAGAAATCTGCTTGCTCAATCTTACTGCTTCAGCTAAGATCCTCAGGACATCTGAATAAGCATATGATAAAATCATCTTTGTGTTTCATTAGATCTTGGATCAGCAGCTTCCCTATGACACCCTGACCGAGATTCGGAGTCGATTAGAGGACGTCTCACCGAATTTTGCACACTATGATAAAGCAGAGGAGGCCAATTACTTCAAACAGGCTAATGATCTCGCCAAGGTAATTAATATTTTTATGACTGAAAATAATGACATTGTTTAACCTACAATCAAAAAATCTGTTAGTTGACTACAACTAGAAGACTCTGGCCAGCCAAAGTCAGTTGCTGTTGCCTAGCAATAAAAGGATGGCCGGTGAAGTAATAAGGGGGAAAATATTTTCATGTATGAATTCAATGCATTTCCTGTTTTAGAGTCAATTGAAATGGGATAATTTGAAAGTAAAATTGAAATGATACAAATTTACATGTACTATCTTGTAAAAAAAATTTTTTGGGAGAAATGATCGAACCACAGGTTTAATAATTATCTTTTCAAGAAAATATATTGGTTTCATCATTTAATTTAATAACCAAAATAAAACATTATTTAATCGAACTCTCTGGATCCTGTCTATTTCCTCAACCATTGTTTTTTCCACCTCATGACAGAAAAGACTAGATATAGTGAAACCTTTCTAGTCCGACATGCTCTGGGAGACAAATTTTGTGAAAGTTGAAACACATGAAAAATAGTGAAATGGAAAAGAAATTTAAAGGGGGAATTCACAGTGGGACGGAATCCATAGGTGTAGGACTCAGATTAGACAGTTTTCACTGTATTAGTATTTCAATCCAGGTCATTAACACTTTTTCGTGAGTAAAAATTTTGATTTTAATCATTATTATTTTTTAAACACAGATGGTGAAGGGCCAGTTGGAGTCACAACCCCTCTCCCCACCCCTACAGAAATTAGAAGATTTCTACATGACCGACTCCATCAGTCGCGCTTCACAGACCATGGCAAAGTGTGTACAGGCCGTGAAAGAGTCTGAGAAAGACCCCTACATGTAAATACAGGACAGTACAGGATGCTATGACAGGGGCGTGACAGGACAGTGACAGGGGTTACCAGTGGTACTGACACTGAATCTGCTTTGTTGTTTTACATTACTTATCTTTGTTAATAAAATTTATTTAAAGACTGAAGGAAGGAGTGATGTTACATTGGAAGATAAATTATGGTTCAGAAGGACATAAATGTATAACTGTGTTAATAATGAGTCATGTGACTTTAATAAAAATTATAACATCTGTCGTATGGATAGTTTTTATTAGCTCTCCTGAGCTTAAGGCTCAAGTGACCTTCTCTGATCAAAATTCATTCTGTTGTAAGGCATCGTGGTTGTTGTCATTGACAGAAAATTTTCACATTTTTGTCTTCTTCTCCAAAATAAGTGGGTCAATTTCAACCAAACTTGGCACAGAGTATCCTTGGGTTGGGTAAATTTGAATACTGGTATATAAAATATACTGATAATGATAAAAACTAAAAAAGACATATTTCAAGAATAATTCTTTATCATATTGGAAAAATAACAACAACAAAAAAAAAATACGAAGAATACGAAAAAATATGTGATGCACTACTTCACAATGTGTCTGTCAGACAGTCTGCATGGTCTCGAAATTTTTCTTTGACAGATCATTGAATTAATTATGTTGACAAAATCCAGTTTTAAATGCTGTTGAATAAAATTTTGCCTTTGACTTTTAAATTTCATTGCACAAAAAGTGCACGTAATTGGGATTCCTCTTCATAAATTCTTCTATGCTCTTGCCGATTGGGTTCCTGTTTGAAAAATTCTCCACAAAAATCACAAACCTGACTGATACTGTAACGTGTACATGAAGTAAGAACATGCATTACTTTTGTGAATTTGTTCATGTATGTAAGCTCTAAATTATGTATACAGATTTCTGAAACCTTTGCTGTAATTTAGATTTGCAAAGGGTGTGATGTTTTCCTCATAGAACATTAACTTGCAAATCAGATGATAGTATAATTAAAACATGATAAATATTTCCCATAAAATGTCTGGTTTCTCTGACATCGGTTCATTAGATCTTTTGCAGTTTTTCTCTGACATCGGTTCATTAAATCTATTGCAGTTTTTCTCATTGGTTCATTAGATCTATTAAATGCAGTTTTTCTCATTGGTTCATTAGATCTATTAAATGCAGATCAAGTCTTTTCAGCCTTTGAATGCCTTTTCATGACCCCGCAAGTACAATTTCTGACCCAAGCAGTGACTTTTAAGTGTCACGTATTGCAAGGCCTTTGTAATGTCCCCAAAGTCCCAAATGGTTTTCCGCACTTTTTTCTAAATGTTTAAAGATATTGATGAGGTGTGTCTAACTCTTGATGAGTTAAAGTTCGAGTTTGCATTTTATTCCGCTTCAATAATTGTTTATGGAATTACGACATTTTCAAGTTTTAAGGATTTTCCGCAATATTTTTTTCTTATCGAAAGACGTTGAGCCATCGAACATCGAATCTGAGGATATTGACATGTGTATTTCTTGAAAAAAAACAAAACCTAAAGATCTGGGTTGAGACTCCATGATTTGAAATTTATACTCAAAAAATTCTTACTACATGAGCAGGAAAACACTCATTTACCATTTAAAAATCAGTATGTCGTTAATTTTTTATACAAAAATATTGCGGCTGTGGTTTATATTGACTCTATAAGAAGGGGGGGGGGGGTCCTACTCTGAGAAAGAAAGAGGGCCGGGGAAATTTGGCTCTAGAATGAGATTTCCCCTCGAGGGGAAATCCTACTCTAGAATACGATTTCCGGGAGGAAAACTGACTCTGGGGAAAATCCTACTCTACAACACCGATATGCCATACCATCCAGTAAAACAACGAAAGCAGGGAACCACCAGTCTTTGAATTTGTTTGTTCTTTTTTTCTTTCTTTCTATATATATTTTTTAAAGCTAGCTATAGAATATAACAATAGATACAGTAATCAAGATATTCATAATTTATCCTTTTCATTCACAACATTAAAGAAAGATAATGTGTGTAAAAAGACGTTTTAGAATACGAAGAAGAATTAACAATTGAAGAATTATAATTACAGATTTAATGAAGATACGAGATAAAACGTCTTTGTTATTTGCTGTACATCAAACTGACTTTCTTTTCTGTTGATCTTTGCACATACTTCATATCATCGGAAAAAAATCCTGCCCTTTCAGAATGTTTCTTTGATCATTTTTTATACACCATAAATATAAGAAAAAAACCCTCTCGGCCAAATCATTGTAGATTTTTGCCAGCATGAGCATTTACAGTCAGCTTCTCATATATTTTTCCCTATACATTATTTTTAACTGCCGGGGGGTTGATTCGGCTTTTGAACACGATGTGACCCCCAGCTGTCCCGAGTCAGCGAAGGAATGTACCTTTGACTTACACGTGAACTACATAATGACCATGGTTTCTTATAATTGGACCATTAACGAAGGCAATCCAGTTCTCTACAAAAATGGAATGTTTATCAGGAAAAGCTCAAATGAAAATGAAGAAATGATGCATTCTTGTGACGAATCACCTATGTCCTCAGAAGGTAGGTTGACATTGATGCCTTCAGAAGGTATAGATTGACTTTAGATGCCTCCAGAAGGTAGGTTGACTTTAGATGCCTACAGAAGGTATAGATTGACTTTAGATGCCTCCAGAAGGTATAAGTTGAGTTTGATGCCTACAGAAGGTATAGGTTGACTTTTGATGCCTACAGAAGGTATAGGTTGACTTTTGATGGCTTCAGAAGCTACATGTAGGTTCAGTCAAGATGCCCGAAACCAATTACAAGTAACTACATTCAGAAGGTATGTGAAGTTACGATTGGTGCAGCCTTCAGAAGGTAGGTTAGAAGTCTAAGTCTACAAAATGCAGGCTAAATAATCTATAGATGTTATCAGACGTAGGTTTGAAGATTTTTACTTCCACAGAAGGAAGGCTAGGTGTGTATGTGCTAAGAGGGCAGACTTTGATTTTATGTTCTCAGAAGACAGACAGAGTGTCCATGTCATCAGAAGGTAGGCTAAGTGTCCATGTCCTCAGAAGGTAGGCAGAGTGTCCATGTCATCAGAAGGTAGGCAGAGTGTCCATGTCATCAGAAGGTAGGCTAAGTGTCCATGTCATCAGAAGGTAGGCAGAGTGTCTATGTCCTCAGAAGGTAGACATGCAGGGAGTCTATGTTCTCAGAAGCTAGGTAGAGTGTCCATGTCATCAGAAGGTAGGCAGGGAGTCTATGTTCTCAAAAGGTAGGCAGAGTTTCCATGTCATCAGAAGGTAGGCAGAGTGTCCATGTCATCGAAAGGTAGAGAGTGTCCATGTCATCAGAAGGTAGGCAGAGTGTCCATGTCATCGAAAGGTAGAGAGTGTCCATGTCATCAGAAGGTAGGCAGTGTCCATGTCATCAGAAAGTAGGCAGTGTCCATGTCATCAGAAGGTAGGCAGTGTCCATGTCATCAGAAAGTAGGCAGTGTCCATGTCATCAGAAGGTAGGCAGAGTGTCCATGTCATCAGAAAGTAGGCAGTGTCCATGTCATCAGAAAGTAGGCAGTGTCCATGTCATCAGAAAGTAGGCAGTGTCCATGTCATCAGAAGGTAGGCAGTGTCCATGTCATCAGAAGATAGGCTAAGTGTCCATGTCATCAGAAGATAGGCTAAGTGTCCATGTCATCAGAAGATAGGCTAAGTGTCCATGTCATCAGAAGGTAGGCAGAGTGTCACTGTCATCAGAAGGTAGGCAGAGTGTCCATGTCATCAGAAGGTAGGCGGAGTGTCCATGTCATCAGAAGGTAGGCGGAGAGTCCATGTCATCAGAAGGTAGGCAATGAGTCATCAGAAGGTAGGCAGAGTGTCCAAGTCATCAGAAGGTAGGCAATGAGTCCAAGTCATCAGAAGGTAGGCAATGAGTCCAAGTCGTCAGAAGGTAGGCAATGAGTCCAAGTCGTCAGAAGGTAGGCAATGAGTCCAAGTCATCAGAAGGTAGGCAATGAGTCCAAGTCGTCAGAAGGTAGGCAAGGAGTCCAAGTCATCAGAAGGTAGGCAAGGAGTCCAAGTCATCAGAAGGTAGGAAGGTAGTCGAAATCATCAGAAGGTAAGAAGGGAGTTCAAGTCATCAGAAGGTTTCAAAGTCCTCAGAAGGTAGGCTAGGTCTGTATGTCATTAGAAAGCAGACATACAGTTCATGTCTTTGGTAAGAGAACATGTCAATAAGTAATCTCGGTATTTTATCGTACGTACGACATCTATATTCAATAGGTTTATAAATCTTATTTTAAAGTTGCATTTCAAGTCGCAAGTGTCACTTGTTGAGAAGACTTGAAAAATGAATATAAGAGAAAAACTAGGTGACCATTTGATTGAGATATTTTAATTCAGATGTTAATGAATATCAAAATTCTGTCTTAACACTGTTTTGTTTACATAAAAAGTCTTTTTTTTTAAATTTCATTTTCAAAATGTATACGTTTAATAATTTAATGCAGAAAATACAAGAAAACTTTAAAGAATGGTAATTTAACACAACTTTGTAAGACTTTTCTTTTTCCTTCTTTTTTATTTTGCCCGTCGATTTGATTGTGAATTATTTGATTGTTAGAAATGAAGGAGGTGATAACTGCTGATGGTAACTACAGATTTATGTTCGCCATAAACAACCAGTTTCCCGCACCAACACTCACTGTGTATGAAAATCAAAGAGTAAGTCAATAGCATGGTACACGTATATTCTTTTAAAGAACATTTGAAAAGGTCATTAAGTTATTGTGACAATTTCCATTTTGCATATTAATAACATGTATAGAGAAAATTGCTTTAATTTGAAATTAGATTTCATGGATAACTTCCATTTCACGTAGAAAACCTAATAAAGAATTAAGAGTTTGTAATGACGTTAGAAAATGGGGTAAATCTCTTTTTCCAACATTCTATTAAGTTTCACAACTGAAAAACTAGAAGAAACTGGGACATAGGAATTATTTCATTGGGTTACTGAAAAACAAAATGCATTCAGAGAACATGTTTTTAAATGCTTTTCGAGTGACGAGAGGTGTAAAGGTTTTTTGATTTGTAGTAAGGGTGTTCCACATGCTGTTCAATGATATATTTTTTCAAAAGTTTTTTTTAATAGTAAAAATATATAAGGGAATGATCTTAGTTTAAAATTAAATCAAATATCAAATATTGTTCGCTGTATATCATAAATATGCATATATATAACATGTATATTGTAAAATTTACAGCAATTAGTTGAAAAATCATAATTCAAGTTTAAGTGAATGAAAAAACCGAGAGTAACAGTGAATATTATCTCAAAAAATCTATAAAAATATGAATCTTTGAAGTGCCCAAAGGCATACAATGTAAACCAAAGACCCCTGAAAATTCAAGAAGTGGGATCGGATGCCGAGGAGGAGTAAACATCCCCTGTTTATCGGTCGCACCCGATACATGTATGAGCCCAATGTATTGATTAGGTAGATGGGATATATCTGTATGAAGTTTTTCTATATAGGTGAGAATTCATGTCCACAATGACTTAGTGAATGAAGCTTTGACGCTCCACTGGCATGGACTATCTCAAAATGGCTCTGTTTGGATGGACGGTGTTTCCATGGTAACACAATGTCCGATACTTCCGGGACAGACGTTTACATACCTGTGAGTAATTTATAAATGTCATCAGCTTGTGTTGCTCTGCAAAAACGTACGATTATTATAGATTATGCTTGCTGCAGAACTGTAGCGTTATGGGTCAAAGACTAATATAAAAAAAAAAAACCACGATAACGCTATGTACAATTCTGCAGCTATGATTATGCAGACTGTTTTGAATGTACATTTATCTTTTAACATTCATTTTTTTTCAATGCAAATTATGATTCAAAAATACAATCCAATGTTTGAATATTTATAAGCTTTACAGCCAGTCCCCGAGGAACCCATTGGTATCACGCTCATCACGGGACAATGAGGTCCTCAGGACTTGCAGGTGCCTTTATCGTACTTCCTCGAAAAGAAAAGGAGGTATATCATGTATATATATAGGTTTTTGATTCCAGTTTTTTTCATTTTATGTCAGATTTTTATGCCAATTCAGCTCTTCAGTCATCAATTTTCCTTACTTATGTAGCTATATATACTCATCACCTGTATATGGGTTTATTTTTCCCAGTTGCTAAGATACGCAAGAATATGCTCTACATATAGACAATTTCTAAAAACTATTTGCAAATAAGTTGATGAATCAATGATATCGGAATGCTTCAATTTGCAAGTTTTTTGGTCGATACAATGCCCTTGTCAGAAAATACAATTTATCGTTGAGTCAAGTGTGACTGTCGTTTTTCATGCTAATTGTTAGTTCATTATTTACACACTGAATTTACTAATGTTTTTAAGGCGTGTGTGATCAAGCCTCTATGGCACCAGCTTCCTCTCGTATTTCCGTGGTTGCTCTTTTCCTGATTTGTACTGCTGAATACTGTTTGTCATCTTCATATATATTTCTTTGTAAAATTTTATATCTAAAAAATTCATTTTAAAGAAATTCTATATCTATAATGCCGTAGTTCTTAGCAAACCAAGAAAAGAGGAATTAATTCAACAAAATAAATATATATTCTGCAGTATATACATGTACGTCTACATGAACGTGAACTTTTTCAAGGTAAAAGCACCGTACACTTTAAATGTTCCGATCCCATATCATAAACATTTGTTTAATTGTGTTAGAGAACAGATATTCCAAAAACTGACAAAGACGTTGTATTCATGTTCCAAGACTGGAGCTTTCCAGAAAGCGACGTGCAGATGGTCTTGTACGAGGAATGGTACATGCAAACGTAAGTACAACATCATTCATAAGTGTTTATTAGCTCGAACTGAAGGCTCAGTTGAGCTTTTCTGATCAAATTTGTCCATTGTCTGTGATTATCGTCATTGTCCTAAACTTTTTACAATTTCATCTTCTTCTCCATACCCACTAATTTAGAACCATTTTTGAGCAAGTTTGCTCAGAGTATCCATAGATTATTGCATAGACCTAGAGTTTTAGGTCTATGGTTATTGTGAAGGAAATTTAATTTGTGCAATGAAGGACCACATTGACATCATATTTCAAAGGGATATAATTGTAAAAAAAACTATTAAAAAAAAAATCACTGGCTCATTAGAACCAGTGTGCCAGAAAAAGATAAAACTCATATGCATTAGAGCTTCCAATTTACTGTCCACATGCTTAAAAATCAGATGCCAGTGTATCTAAAACCTCTATCTTGATATAGTCTACGGTTTGTGAAGAACATGGATAAAGACAAGTGTTTAGAAGCCAAGCTTAGCTATGACGGTTCTCACTCTAGTATGACGATGCCTTACACCAACACCCTGGTCAACGGGAAAACTAAGTACTGTACGTTAACTGTTTTTCTCCTTAATATGTTTTGGAGATTCGGATTCCTACGGACTTGAATAACATCTTACATGACTTATAAACTGTTAAATACTTTTAATAGGAGACTTATAATTTTGGTTTGATTAAGGGATGGATATATTAAAAATATCTAATTTAAATTTTATTTTTTCATAATTAATTTGGCATAGTAATGCAAATATACAAATCAAGTTTATACAAAACTGTAATTTGAATAAAACTTCAAGTTTATCGTACATGTATTTAGAGAAATTAAATAATATTATATATTATAATGTTTGTAATCTTTTAATTTTTCATATTTTAAAAAAAGTGCTAAAAATCAAAGGTATACATATAACATCTAAAGTTTATAGGTCAGCAATACAATTTACATTTACTTGTAAGTACATTTTAGTTTCAAGTGACAGCTCTGATCAGCAGCGAGCCCTCCCATTAGAAGTCTTCAACGTCACTTCTGATAGCTACACACGATTCCGGCTGATAAACTCAGCTCTGTCGGGGGAATACAAAATCTCCATTGACAAGGTTCACACTTACATAAGTTTTAATATATCATTAATTATTTCTCAGTTCTCTGTAAGTAAAGAATGGTCGGAAATTTAACTCATCAGTGTAAGTTCTAAGGACGTTTGATGTACATTTTTAAACTCCTTTGAAAGAGAAATAATGCTTTGATTTCCCTCATTGAATTCCCTTATTGTTTGTAAGCTAATATGATATCTTCTATTGTAAACCCTTGTTTAACAGGACATAACATTGTTCATGTTGTTATTGATGTGCTTGATGAGCGATTGATTGAAAGCAGTCGAAAGACCCCGTTTGTGTTTCTACAAGTACATTTTTACAGTTGAAGAAGTTATAAGAAATGCTTAGCCCTTTTCCAAAGTTATGAAATTCTAGCTGCAATAATGTAGCCGTCTCCATTTTTTTTTTAAATATGCCCCCCCCCCAAAAAAAAAATCCTTGTATTTTCGATATTGTTTCCTTGATTTTTACCAAGCAGTCAAAATTAAAGCATTCAAAAGATGAAATTCATGCAAAGTGCTTGTAAAAAAAATCTTTTAATCCGTAAGTTTAATGTCGTCTGGTCACGATTCCAGTTTCAGGTAGAACGAAGTTTGTTATCAATAGCCCATTCACAATTTGTTTGCAAAGGTTATTAAAGTATTTTTTGCGCACAGCACAAACTTCTGCTGGTAGGCACGGATGGTGCAGAGATAGCTCCCGTCTGGGTCGACTTCCTTATAATTAATGGAGGAGAAAGTTATGACGTCATTCTGTATGCAAATTCTACTCCAGATAATTACTGGATACGAATAGAAACAACAGACGTCATGGATGCCCACTTTGTGAGTGACCGTGGTTTTTAATAAAAAAAAAAATGATTTATATGATAATTTGAATGAGTGTTTAAAATGAATCAAATTATGATTTTCAACAGAGAAATCATTTTAATTCGTTGGGAGTGAAATTCAATTTTCATGGGCTTTTAAAATTTGGTACACTTTCATTAGAATCCAGTGAAACCAAACATAAGCTTTGCGCAGCTCCACTACCAAGAAGCGGACGATAAATTACCTGAATCCGAAGAGAGGGAGTGTTTGAGAGAGGAACCTTGTGTAATGTCAAACTGTCATTGGAGGTACTAAAAACAACAACAGAAAAAAGAAAGAAATATATCATAAATTATCTTATAAATCAGTTTGTTTATGAAAATGGTATATTTCAAGGTATATGCCGCTTGTCATACGATCACGTGCTATTTTTCGCAAACAGATTTTAATGACCAAAGCAATTAGCAATTAACTTCACTTTTATGATAAGCATTATATTTCCTTAAAATTGTCAGCAATTTATCATAAAAAAGATCTATTGAAAAATGTATTGTTAGTACTTCAGTTGATACCACTGATTCAGCTTTGAAAGAAGGCGTCCTTTAATACTACATGTAATGATACAATTTTTTTTAGTCCAGTTGCAATGGCTATAAGAGAACCGAACACCAAGTGTCTGTCAGTGGCGGATCTAAGGGCTACACAGCGAAGTATTGAAGAGACACCTGTACCAGAACCCAGCTCACGTGATGATTTCCAAGAGATTTTTCTAAACTTTAATCCTATAGGTACAGATATTTTTTTTTCTTTTCTTAACAAGCGTCAAACATTTTACATGTCAGTTTCCGGTTCTTTTTGGCTTTCTGAAAATGCAGTTTAAAGTATTAATTTTTAAAGACAATAAAATAACATTTATCTGTTTTTAGGGACTAAAGTGAAGCGTGTTCGTCCTGCAGTAAATTCAATTCACTACAAACACCCTCCTGTTCCTCTGCAGGTGTGGTACAAATTTTCTACTGCAAGTTATTTTGCTTATATATGAAATGCTTAAGACATGCACAGTTAGTGTTAAAGTACAGCCAGAAAGCAATTCACATGTACTCAAACAATATTTGATGTTTCCCCCTACAGGCGTTTAGATCGCTTTCAAAAAAAGTTGAAATCGGACTAAAGCGATCCAAAGGCCGTGTTTCCACCCAAACCCTCATAAAGTAATAAACTTGTCCATTATTGCATATACAAAAATTTTAGAAGCAAATTAAAAGCTGTTACAATTTTTCTGAATACTCTTATTCACGACCAGATCATGCAGATTGTAAGCTAGTCCAAAACTATGTGTGATACCAGATTGAAATGCAGAAAAAATATTATTTTAATTACTATTATATAGTAAACCACTTTACTTGAAGATTTATCCAGACATTGTGAAAGACAAGAACATTGTTTGTGACAACGAACACATGGACAGCTGTGGGGAATTCTGCTGTTGTACTCACGTAGTCAAACTGGCTTCCAAGAAAACCACACAAATTGTCTTACTGGCGGAGGGTAGGTCACGTGATATGCGAAAATATTATTAGCGGGAAACTATTATTCGTCACTTTTCAAAATTTGCAATGAAAATGTAGCTGGAGTAGATGTTATACTAGTATTCAATATGTGTAAATTCGTGTAGATGTCACAATTTGAGAAACTTGTACTTACATGTACTTGTAATTTTAGCTGTACTGGGAACTTTTCATCCAATTCATCTCCATGGAAACCGTTTCCATGTACTAAAATATGGATATCCAGTTATTAACGAAACCACGGGACTAATGGTAGAAACGAACCATGACATAAAGTATTCACGTGACTACAGTAAGGCAAAATGGCGGAATTCGAGCTGGAAATTTGGTAATGTTCCGGGTATAAATATTAAGGATCCGCCCCAGAAAGACACAGTTGTGGTGCCTGGTAAAGGTTACGTTGTTCTACGACTCAAGACGGAAAATCCAGGTACCTTATTTGCTTCATATGATACAAATACCAATACGTGTACCATGGACGTGATTGTTCAGACTTTGCTGTATTTTATATTAAAATATTTTCAGGATTCTGGTTTATCCATTGTCACATTGATAACCACCAGACTATTGGAATGGCGGTCGTTCTACAAGTTGGTGAGCCAGAGGAAATGCCGAAGCCTCCTCCCGGATTTCCGAAATGTCCGAACTTCCAAGTTCACACAGACTCCGAGAAAAATATGCGACCCGGCAGCAAATTCCTGCAACTACCAGGTAACTCAACCAATGTAATACTCAGAGATACCTCTCACTCCCTTATTATGTTCCCCAAACGAAGTTGGGGAACATATTGTTTTTACTCTGTTTCTTATTAGGGTCTTCCGTCTCCAGCGGAAGACCCTTCTATTATTCTTATGTTTCTTTTTCAATTTTCTTATTATTATTCTTTTTCTCTGCACAAATTTTGTGCAGAAGATTTCTCAGAGATGGCTCGATGGATTTGCTTCAAATTTTCAGGGTTGATGTAGGATCATCTGAAGTTTATACCATTTTTTGGACTTTTTAAAAATCACTTCCGGTCTAGAGTTATCGCCCTTTTATTAAAATTCAGCGGACCTTCTTGTCCGTCATTGATCTCAGAAACGACTTGAGCTAGAGCGCTGAAATTTTCAGTGATGATAGAGGACATGTCCCCATGTTACTGGGAGTTTTGGGTAGTTTCCGGAAGTACCTAGTATGGAAGCTCGGTAGGGGTCAAAATTTAGGACACGAATCACGAGTGATTTTTGGAAACATTTTGCATCATATCTTTTAAAGTATAAATATTTTGTAAGAACATACTGAACAATATTTGTGCCGAATGACAAGATCTTTCATATGATTTCGTAAAAAAAGTGCTGACTCATCAAATTAAGGACCAAAAGGGGCTAAAAGTATTTTTTCGATAACTATTTTATAGTCAATATTTTGTTATACATTAATGAAGCAAAAATGTTTATCTCAACAATCTACAACTGTATATTATGATTTTAATATAGTATGGTACATAATTAGGGGTCACAAGGGGCCAGAATGATAAATCTTTGACGCTTTATATCTCGAAAGTGAGAAATATTTTGACAAGTAATGTTGAACAAAAGATGTTCAAAATCATGTTCTGAACAATATGCAACCTTTCATTTTTTGCTAAACGTCCCCATTAGGGAGTTGAAGGGTTGGCCCCTTAATCTTTCTTTTGCAAATAACTCGAAAACGAAAAAGAATCTCTGAATAGTTGTTGAACAAAAAGTGTTCAAAATTGTAAGAGCTTCAAGATGATATCCAGAAAAAGGGGCTGGACACTCAAATTAGGGGCCAAGAGGGGCTTAAAGTCTTTTTTCGATAACTCTTTAACAGTCAATATTTTGTTATACATTACTGAAGCAAAAATGTTTATTTTAACAATCTACAACTGCATATTTGGATTTTAATATCGTATATTACATAATAAGGGGCCACAAGGGGCCAGAAGGCTAGATCTTTGACGCTTTATATCTCGAAAGTGAGAAATATTTTGACAAGTAATATTGAACAAAAGATGTTCAAAATCATGTTCTGAACAATATGCAACCTTTCATTTTTTGCTAAACGTCCCCATTAGGGAGTTGAAGGGTTGGCCCCTTAATATTTCTTTTGCAAATAACTCGAAAACAAAAAAGAATCTCTGAATAGTTGTTGAACAAAAAGTATTTAAAATCTTAAAAGCTTTAAAATGAAATCCAGGAAAAGGGGCTGGGTGCTCAAATAAGGGGCCATAAGGGGCTAAAAGTATTTTTTCGATAACTCTTTAACAGTCAAGAATTTGTTATACATTAATGAAGCAAAAATGTTTATTTTAACTATCTACAACTGTCTATTATAATTTTAAAGTCGTACATTACATAATAAGGGGCCACAAGGGGCCAGAAGGCTAAATCTTTGACGCTTTATATCTCGAAAGTGAGAAATATTTTGACAAGTAATGTTGAACAAAAGATGTTCAAAATCATGTTCTGAACAATATGCAACCTTTCATTTTTTGCTAAACGTCCCCATTAGGGAGTTGAAGGGTTGGCCCCTTAATCTTTCTTTTGCAAATAACTCGAAAACGAAAAAGAATCTCTGAATAGTTGTTGAACAAAAAGTGTTCAAAATTGTAAGAGCTTCAAGATGATATCCAGAAAAAGGGGCTGGACACTCAAATTAGGGGCCAAGAGGGGCTTAAAGTCTTTTTTCGATAACTCTTTAATAGTCAATATTTTGTTATACATTACTGAAGCAAAAATGTTTATTTTAACAATCTACAACTGCATATTTGGATTTTAATATCGTATATTACATAATAAGGGGCCACAAGGGGCCAGAAGGCTAGATCTTTGACGCTTTATATCTCGAAAGTGAGAAATATTTTGACAAGTAATATTGAACAAAAAATGTTCAAAATCATGTTCTGAACAATATGCAACCTTTCATTTTTTGCTAAACGTCCCCATTAGGGAGTTGAAGGGTTGGCCCCTTAATCTTTCTTTTGCAAATAACTCGAAAACGAAAAAGAATCTCTGAATAGTTGTTGAACAAAAAGTGTTCAAAATTGTAAGAGCTTCAAGATGATATCCAGAAAAAGGGGCTGGACACTCAAATTAGGGGCCAAGAGGGGCTTAAAGTCTTTTTTCGATAACTCTTTAACAGTCAATATTTTGTTATACATTACTGAAGCAAAAATGTTTATTTTAACAATCTACAACTGCATATTTGGATTTTAATATCGTATATTACATAATAAGGGGCCACAAGGGGCCAGAAGGCTAAATCTTTGACGCTTTATATCTCGAAAGTGAGAAATATTTTGACAAGTAATATTGAACAAAAGATGTTCAAAATCATGTTCTAAACAATATGCAACCTTTCATTTTTTGCTAAACGTCCCCATTAGGGAGTTGAAAGGTTGGCCCCTTAATATTTCTTTTGCAAATAACTCGAAAACAAAAAAGAATCTCTGAATAGTTGTTGAACAAAAAGTATTCAAAATCTTAAAAGCTTTAAAATGAAATCCAGGAAAAGGGGCTGGGTGCTCAAATTAGGGACCAAAAGGGGCTAAAAGTCTTTTTTCGATAACTCTTTAACAGTCAAGAATTTGTTATACATCAATGAAGCAAAAATGTTAATTTTAACTATCTACAACTGTAAATTATGATTTTAAAGTCGTACATTACATAATAAGGGGCCACAAGGGGCCAGAAGGCTAAATCTTTGATGCTTTGTATCTCGAAAGTGAGAAATATTTTGACAAGTAATGTTGAACAAAAGATGTTCAAAATCATGTTCTGAACAATATGCAACCTTTCATTTTTTGCTAAACGTCCTTATTAGGGAGTTGAAGGGCTGGTCCCTTAATATTTCTTTTGCGAATAACTCAAAAACGAAAAAGAATCTCTGAATAGTTGTTGAACAAAAAGTGTTCATAATCCTAAGAGTTTTAAAATGTTTTGAAGAAAAAGGGCTGATCCCTAATATTAGGGGCCGTGAGGGGCCAAAAGTCGATTTTTGAAGTCTTTATTGTTCAATGTCTTTGTACAGATTATGGAAAATCAATACTTTAGAGAGAAAATCTCATTCAAAATCTTATCTCATCTCATCAAGAATCGAACGGAAGACCCACTCGTTGTTCACAACGAGATCGTATCTAGTTATTATTATTTTTCTTCTTCCTGGGCACTTTTTTGTCCGCGAATGATCTCGTAAACTACACATCCAACTAAGGTGAAATGTTTTTAGGGTCAGTAGACATGTTATGTAGATTTGCGGAACGAAGGTCATTTTGCGCGCACGTGCTTGCAAGAGCGCGCACGTGCAACACGTGAATGACCAATATAATGTATATTGCCGTAACTTTTCTATTTTTTGATGAAATGTTTTGAAACTCATAATGTAAGAATGTATAAGTAGTATAAACAAAATGACGCAGTCAATATGGCAAGATCTCACGCGCATGCACGTGCGCTACGCTCTGATTGGCTGAAACTAAAGTCTCAATATCTTTCTTGTTTTTTGACGAAATCCTTTGAAATTTTGAACATAGAAATGTATTAAGATATCCTACAAAATGACATATAACAATTATCATGAAATCACGTGCATGCACGTGCGCTGCAATCTGATTGGCTGAAATTTTAAATAGCTATAACTCCCTTGGTTTTCAACCAAACAGAATGGGATTTGGAACATAGATATATATAATGGACTTCTACAAAAAAGTATGGTCACCATGCACATGCATGCACGTGCGTGTACTAATGCTGCAATCTGATTGGCTGAAACTTAAAACAGCTATAACTCCCTTGGTTTTCAATCAATCAGGTTGGGATTTGGAACAAAGATACATATAATGGACTTCTATAAGAAGGTATGGTCACCATGCACATACATACACGTGCGTGTACGTGCGCTACAATCTGATTGGCTGATACTTTAAACAGCTATAACTCCCTTGGTTTTCAACCAAACGGGGTGGGATTTAGAACATAGATAGATGTAATGGACTTCTACAAGAAGGTATGGTCACCATGTTCATGTATGCACGTGCGTGCACGTGAAATGGGTAAAATCAAAAATACACTTGAATGAGCGTTTTTTTTTTATACTTTTGGATTAAATACTTTAATATTTAGCATATTAAAACATATAGATTGTGTAGAGAATATGATATGGTCATTACGCACATGCATTAACATGCGCAAGTGTGCAATGATAAAATTTGAATGAACATAGTACACTTCTGGGTAAACGTTGTTAAAGTCTCAAATGCATAAAGTTTGTCTTATTTAATTACGCTTACAGGGAATATGACTATAAAAGGGAGTTGGGGAGCGTTTGGGGAATATCTGTAACGGTCCCCGTTACAATTAGCACTAGTTTTCTCATGTTTTTTTTTAATTATACCCATTATATACGGATTCTTTTGAACCTTTTTCACTATTTTAGCAATTGATAGTTCAACCAATAGTGACAAACCTGAGCTAGGAAACAGTTCCGAAGAACACGTCTTTATTATAAACTACACCACGTATACCACCTTGGTGGCGTTCCTGGTGGTGTTCGTCTTCGGGTTCGTCGTTCTGTGTTTGGTGGTGGTCAGCAAACACTGCAACAGGAAATGTCTGACCTCTAGATACCTGGGATACGATCTGATTGAAAATGAAGATCGCGTTATATATCCTAAGTAAAGAATGAATGACAATCAGGGCAAATACTAAGTAATTGATGATGAGTGAAAATGTCATATTGTTAATGAAATAATGAAATTAATAATATTTATTTTTATCATAATTATGTCATTGATTGTTTTGGTCCTAAAATATATGTTTTCTGTTAAAAAATCTATAAACACCATGTGAATTTTCTTCTGTATGAAATACTTACAGTATTCGCAATGACGATTGAAATCGTAAAATAAAAAATATATAGTTAAAATGCTATTGTAATATTACTTAGATTAGGGTCTTTTTTTAAAAAAAAAAATATTAAACTAAAAACCATAATCTTGACACTAAGTTGAAAAAAATGCATATAATGCAAAGTATATTTTATTTCATTATTTCTTTCCTCATTTAAAAAAAATGGGGCTTTTTTTTTGTTTTTGTGAAATGAACATAGAATTCATAAATAGTTAGTGATGTGGTTTTGCTAAGTCCCCTCAAGAAGTCGTTCTCTTATTGAGAAGACGCAAACACCTGTCGTTGAAGTGCTGCAGATTAAGGCATGTAATCACTTTTAAGGAATGAAGTACATTTTTTCTGCCAACACCTTCTCATTTTTGAGGAGTGAAGGATATCTTTCTTCCAACACCTTCTTCTCATTTTTGAGAAGTAAAGGATTTCTGCCAACACCTTCTCATTTTTGAGGAGTGAAGGATATTTTTCTGCCATTATCTACTCATTTTTGAGGAGTGAATGATATTTTTCTGCCAATGCCTACTCATTTTTGAGGAGTGAAGGATATTTTTCTGCCAACACCTTCTTCTCATTATTGAGGAGTGAAGAATATTTTTCTGCCAACACCTTCTTCTCATTATTGAGGAGTGAAGGATATTTTTCTGCCAACACCTACTTATTTTTGAGGAGTGAAGGATATTTTTCTGCCAACATCTTCTACTCATTTTTGAGGAGTGAAGGATATTTTTTCTGCCAACACCTTCTTCTCATTATTGAGGAGTGAAGGATATTTTTCTGCCAACACCTTCTACAGCACAGGGCTTCTGTTTACACAGTCTCATCCGAAGGACTGGTCTTTACATCCTGTTGGATTCGCGATGTCATGTTCAACGCCTCTTAACTTATTCTTTAAGTCAATGCTTTAATAAAAAATGCGCCATACGGGCCACTCTATAGCTATAGATTTAAGTATAAGTAATTTGACAGAACGAATGTAGACATCTCCGCTATGATAATTATTTTTTGGCTACTTATGCATGGTAGACTTTGCGTAAGTTTGTGATCTAGGAATTCAAAAACCAGACACATGAATCTTTCATATTATAAATTTAGTCAGTTCAGTTATAAAGATATCACAAGAAAATACGTATATATCTAAATAGCAATTATTTCAACCGTAACGTATGTCTTGGTAATTTTTATGCGCCCGGATCGATAGATCCGGGGCGTATATTGTTTTTGTCCTGTCTGTTTGTCTGTTTATCTGTTTGTCTGTTTGTCTTTCTGTCTGTTGTCAACTTTAACCTTCGCCAAAACTTTTGAACCATGAGAGATAGAGACTTCATATTTGGTATGCATACTCCACTAATAAAGTTCTTTCAAATGACATCAAGGTCAATGACCTTGTGACCTTGACTGTGACCTATATGCTAAAAATAGCTTTTTCAACTGTTTGCCATAACTTTTGAACCATAAGAGATAGGGACTTCAAATTTGATATTCATACTCCACTAATAAAGTTCTTTCAAATGACATCAAGGTCAATGACCTTGTGACCTTGACTGTGACCTATATGCTAAAAATAGCTTTTTCCTCTTTTTGCCATAACTTTTGAACCATAGCAGATAGGGACTTCATATTTAGTATGCATACTCCACTAATTAAGTTCTTTCAAACAACACCAAGGTCAATGACCTTGTGATCTGACTGTGACCTATATGCTAAAAATAGCTTTTTCGATATTTGTTGATGCTGGGCGCATAGTGTTTCACAAACACATCTTGTTTTTTCTATCTAAAAATATATTAACGCTCTGTATTATATCTTAAGCATATGTTATACACAAAATTCCTAAGTTATGAAACTATAATGAGTTTTATTATTAAAGGAGATGAAAAGATGAACAATAGTAATTAGTCTTACAAATGTCAATCACGACCAATGAAAACCATATACCCCTGCAGTACTAGACGTGGGATAACCAAAATAAAGTGGAAATCTTTCAAAATCTCTTTTAATAATTTTCAGCCTAACGCTCAATCAGCTACTTCTGCCTCACATAGGTAGGACATCATTTTGGTACCATTATTGTCGAACCATTTATATCCGTCCTTCGCTTCCGCTCTTTTTCGTGTTTCTTCGGGATAAGTACAATGCTTGTTGTATTTCCAGTTCTCATAGGTTATAACTGTTTTATCTTCGAAAACCCAGGTACAGTTGTTAGGCAGAAGTTTTCCCTCAATCCATACGCTTGAAGGTGAATTGCACTGGATATCTATATAAAATCATTTTTATATTATCTAACAAGAAGCTTTTTAATAAACGCATTGACTTCAATTTTTCATTCATCAATTTCCCCTACTTATGCAGCAATATACCCTTATCACCTGTGTATTCGGTTTATAACTCTCAGTTGATTCGATAGTATGTTTTACATACGAGTCGAGCAGTTTCTACAACGAAACATGTTATTGACGAACAAGTTGATGAAACAAGAAAAAGGATTCAAAGGAACAATCTTGTTTAAAGATTTTTAGGTTAATTGATACACTGACCTTGTCAGCAAATAGTTTTGATTATTAACTCAAATGCTGTTGGACGTTTTCATTCTTATTGTACGACCATTAGGTACAAATTGAATTGTCTATGGATATTTCTTTTATTTCCTTATCATTTCAAGGAGGAAATGGCTGGTGTGACCAGTTTTCAGGGGATGTTCCCTCTTTGATGGATCCTGATCCTACCTCTCAACTTCTAGAGGTCCGTGTTTACTCTGCTCCTGATTTGCATTCATTAGATGGACTCTGAACTTTCAAGACTACTACACAACTATGGACTCCTTGGGTGTTGAATATGATTTGTCATTCACCAGAAAAATATAAATATTCCTCGAGGCGAAACATTACAGTCATTGCAGTCTTTGAATTTAAAATTAACTTCGTGAATTAAAATTGGGATGTTCGGTGTATTAACAAATTACCAATAATATCTATATATACATGTAGTTAAACTTATTAACTTCTTACAAAATATTTATGATTCCCGTTGAATATTTGTATTAATTTACATGTATTTCAATTATCTATGTGTACATGTACATGATACATGTAAGTGCATAAGGAATGATACTTTTAAAATTCTCCCCTTTATACAAATACAAGTACATGTATATTTACTTACCAAGATATTTTATGAACAGTTGATTTTTTCCTGGGGAGGATATCCTGACAAGATGTCCCCCATCCTTTACACAGTCCAGAAGAGCCGTACTGTAATTTTTTGGCTCCGACACGAATCGGAAGCAGGAGCCCGTGCCATTGTGAGAGAAGTAACTGTAGCCTTTGAAACACAACTCTACAAATCAGTGAAGAATTAGCAAGAACAACGCTTTAATTAAAGGAACCTTAATTTGTAAAAGTTGTTCCTATATGTGATTTTTCAGATAAATGTACCTTTGCTTTATTACACGTAGTACTGTAAAATAACATATTTCCGAGGTGTCAAATTTTCGTGGTTTCAGGAAAATATGTTGGTTCAGAGGGATTGGATTTCGTGGTTGAAGAACTCTCCAGTAGTAATATGTGTAAAATTGCAATTTCATGCCGGACATAAATTCGTGGGTCTCTTCATACCTTGAAAACCACGAAAATTAAACCCCCCAGGAAAATTCGTGATTTCACAGTATTATAAATCTTTGATTTCAAGAAACTTACCTGGCGTTAATATTTTCCAAGGAGTTGAAGCAAAATAATTATTACCAATCGGCTCACATTTACAACAACCGCATCTTTTTGTTGCTGAATGCCACATGCTACTGGATAAAACTCCGTGATTCTTAGAGCAATGCCGGAAACACAACTGAACCGTTGAAATGTGATCATAGTACACATCACATCCGGTGATATTTTTAGATTCAGACAAAAATAAAGTCTGCTGCCGAAAGGTTGCTATGACAACTGAAACAGTGATTACTAGGGATATCACCGATTCTCGATGAAACATCTTTCCCCGTCTTTTGCTAACTGATTAAGAAATTCAAGTTTCGCTTGGTTTCTTGCTTTTAAAACTAAAAAAATATCTTAGAGATTTTAATCTTAGAAAATTAAAGTCTAAGGAAAGTATCAAATATGCATGATCAATATATTGATTGATGAAAATGCAATTAAGTAATGTTCTACATGGTTACTTGAAATTATTCTGAATTGATCAGAGAAGATGAATATCGTCAGGATATCAAATTGTATGTTTTTGCATATATATTAATCAACCTTTACACAACCACGTACGCGATTTTATGTTGAAGAACATTTACCGGAAAAATAAATAATAAAATTCATTTCATTTGAATTATCCATTAATATATATTCAAATGTCTCATGATATACACGAAGAAAATGCTATCTCAAACGTCCGGACGCAAGTTCTTCGGAAGACATGTAAAACCCCGATCCTTTTTCACAGTAGATTCTGTGACGAAAATACCCTTCACTGCTAAATAGTTATTGTGACACGATAGCGGTGTTTTTCTTTGAAGTTTACTGTTCTGTATTAGCAATACAGAACGGGACTGTGGTGGGCGGAGCTACTTTCCGTTCTGTATTAGCCCTGTATACAGTATTGTATTTGCCAACTATTCTGTATCTAAAATACAGCACGGTCTAAAAATAAATCTGATTCAATTTAGCAAAAGCACGTACAAATAGTAAATGCCGATGTTTTCCTATTATAAATTTTGGGGAAATAGCCGGTATTTTCCTGAGAATATAAAATGTCAAAATTGCTCAATTACTTTTTAAAAACATTCCACACAGAATCTACACGTAATTTCGATCCAAACTAAAAGGAAAATTCTCAATAGCGGAAAACATCCTCTGTACGTAATTTAGATCCAAACAAAACGGAAAATTCACGGAAAACATCCACTCTCCCCGTGCAAAATCATTCAGGTCCATTTTTCCGCGTTTTTAATTTTTTAAAATCCTTCTCGCTGACGACAGCCACACGTCTCTTTCACTTCGTTTTTAATGTCGCAATTCAATTTGAAAATAAAAATCCGTGACATCAAAGTACATCGAAAAATTTTCTGTAAATTATCCTGTTTTCGTAAATCCAGTTAAACCAGAATTTTAATACCCCTGAAATATATTATGATAAATCTCCATCTACAATAGATCACAACAATGACGGTTAAATCCTCCAATTTAACCATTAAAACTGACTATCACTCGATTACGTCTACCCCGTTAAACTGTCAAAACTAATCTGACCGAATTTTACGTTTTCCGTGGAAATATATATATACTGCGGATGCGTACTCCCCGTCGGGGCCTCATCTACAGAACTCTAGCGGTTTGGATGCTGCAAAGTTATAAAGTGGGCGGAGCAATTTTTGATTGATCGTGTCACAAATCATTTAGAGAACTCGACAGGTTCTGTATCGTAGATACAAATTTGGGGGTGGAGACTCGTGCTAAAGCACTCGTCCACCCCCAAATTTGTATCTACGATACAGAACCAGTCGAGTTCTCTAAATAATACTTAGTATATACCGACTACAATCGCTACCTTCGCTTGGTGGAATCCATAAATGAATTAAAATACTTAAAGGTACTTTAGATAAACAAACAATATTATAAGTCTGTATAAATTATACTTCAAGATATGGTTGTTACTGCGTTTTAAATTCGCAGAAAAATATTTTAGCTCAACACTCACGCTTAAAGCCAAATAAATTCTATGGTTAATTAATAAATGATTTGTTCACTAAATACAAATTACATTACATGTAAGTCACATTCTGACTTCTCCATTTGCCTGATTATAACAAGAGACAGGAACGGTCAACAGGGGATGCTTACTCCTCCATGGCACCTGATCTAAGCTCTGTACGTATTATTAGAGGCCAGTGTTTTCTGCTTCCTATTTGTTTTATTTTAATTGATTTTTTTGCTTTTGCTTAATGAAGTTTTGTAATCTTTATATCGAAGAATGAATATTATGGACTTTAAAAGTAAACCAATGTTTCTTTTTGCAAAATTTCTTTTTGAGTTTGCGGTGCCAAATTTAGCGAATAACACAATATATGTCAGTACTGAAACCTCGACAACATTTTTTTAACCTCTTGAACTTGGTGATTAACTTGCATTTAAGAAACTTTACCCATTGGTGTAGGCTGTCATTTTTGGCCAACAGTGTCTCATAATCATATCTTGTTCACATAAGCATTACTTGTGACGAAACCTTTCCAGTTATAATTAAAATATTTGATCTCATGACCTTGAAGTTAAACGCAGTTTCAAGAAGCTGTAATCTTGCATTCTTGAATGTACATATTTGTAATTTCATTGAAGTATTTACTAATATTTTCCAAGTCTATTTCATTTTCGAATTCTTAGGAGAAAAAAAATTCTAAGAATTATCTGCTTATCTAAACCTGTGCTATGATATTAAATCTCCTCCGAAGAAAAAATTGTTTGTATCATCTGTTCATAAGTCTCATAATGTGGCAAGACTGCAATAAGACTACAACTGTAGGAGTACATTTAATAGAATTTTACAGAATTTCCTATTCTTAGTTACCATGGCAACATCATTCATCAAAATTTAAAAAAAAAAAAAATAAGACAATTATGTATCTCAGTGTAGTCAACTTTCATGCCACATTATATTATAATCAGACTAAAACTGTATTAGGTGTACATGTAGTATTTTGAAATTATATCCAAGAAATATTATTTTTAGTAACCACGGGAACACCGTTCATTGAAATCAATAAAAAAAAAATCTGTATCTTAGCGTAGTCTACTTGTAAGCCAAGTTATACTGAAATCAGACTAAAACAGTAGGAAGAGTAGCAATTTGAAATTATTTCACAAATTTCTATTTTAGTAACCCAAGCAACACCACTCATCGAAATAAAAGCCAATAAACAGAATTATGTCTCTTAGTGCAGTCTACTTGTGTTCCAAGTTATAATGAGATCAGACTAAAACTGTAGGAAGAGTAGCATTTTGAAAGTATTTCACAGAAATTTCTATTTTTAGTTATCATGACAACATCGTTCATTGAAATTAAAAACAGATCAATAGAATTATGTATTTTAGTGTAGTCTAAATTTTTGACAAATTATATTGAAATCAGACCAAACTGTAGGATTAATATTTTGAAAAATTGTTTCCAGACAGACTGATGACTTGCAACCGCATATTAAGCTCTTCTGGTCTCTGACCAGCAGAGCTAAAAATTAGATAAATAATAAAAATAAAATAGCCGTATTTCAGTTCCCCAATTTCTTTTTAGAAAAAAATTCCAAAACAGATAAATATAAGTAAACACTTTATTTACATGTTCCTTTCGGAGAAAAAGGAAATCAATGTTGCATCAAATTTTACATGAAATAAGCATAAGCATGCAAAAATCCCCTGATAGCTTTTATATTAAGATAAGATAGTTAATATTCTTAAAAATTGTGTACATGTATTAGCAATTGTTTCAGGTCTAGAAATGAGTCTGTGTGTGAAATAAATTGAAATCTCATGACATACACACAGTTATTTAATTTTTAAATGTACATGATTAGTAATTGAGGAAAAGTGTTGTTTGTTCATAAACAAGAGGCCCAAGGGCCTTGAATCGCTCTTCTGATAAATTGTACAACCTATCACTTGTATTTAAAGCCTCTAACCCTAAGTATCCTATTAAAGACCCAAGTTGCATCACCTGACAAAGTTTGATGATTCTTAGCCAATTAGAACTACTTTTTGGTCTACATTCTTGGAAATCACAAAATGCATCAAGTGACAAAGTATGATTATTCTAAGCCAATAAATACCTAAAATACTTAAATATAGCCATACAATGTCGAAAGTAGGTCATCGTGACCTACATTTTAGTCAACATTTTTCAGAGTCCCAAGATGCATCTGCTGACTAAGTTTGATAATTCTAAGCCAATAAATACCTGAGATATTCAAAAGTAGGTCACTGTGACCTACTCTTTAGTCAACATTCTCAGAAAACTCAAGATGCATCAACTGACAAAGTATGATGATTCTTAATCAATAAGTACCAGGGATACTTAAATATAGCCATACAATGTCGAAAGTAGGTCATTGTGACCTACATTTTGGTTGACATTTTTTAGAGTCCCAAGATGCATCTGCTGACCAAGTTTGATAATTCTAAGCCAATAAATACCTGAGATATTCAAAAGTAGGTCACCATGACCTACTCTTAGGTCGACATTCTCCGAAAACCAAAGATGCATCAACTGACAAAGTATGATGATTCTAAATCGATAAGTACTAGAGATACATAAATATAGCCATAAAATGTCAAAAAGTAGGTCACCGTGACCTACTTTTAGGTCAACATTCTCTGAAAAAAAACCAAGATGCATCAACTGACAAAGTTTGATGATTCTAAGCCAATAAGTACCGGAGAATACTTAAATATAGCTATAAAATGTCGAAAGTAGGTCATTGTGACCTACATTTTGATTGACATTTTTTAGAGTCCCAAGATGCATCTGCTGACCAAGTTTGATAATTCTAAGCCAATAAATACCTGAGATATTCAGAAGTAGGTCACTATGACCTACTTTTTGGTTGAAATTCTCTGAAAACTAAAGATGCATCAACTGACAAAGTATGATGATTCTAAACCAATAAGTACTAGAGATACATAAATATAGCCATAAAATGTCAAAAGTAGGTCACCGTGACCTACTTTTTGGTCGACATTCTCCGAAAACCCAAGATGCATCAACTGACAAAGTTTGATGATTCTAAGCCGAAAAGTACTGGAGATACATAAATATAGCCCTAAAATGTCAAAAGTAGGTCACCGTGACCTACTTTTTGGTCGACATTCTCCGAAAACCCAAGATGCATCAACTCACAAAGTTTGATGATTCTAAGCCAATAAATACCTAAGATACTTAAATATAGCCATAAAATGTCAAAAGTAGGTCACCGTGACCTACATTTTGGTCGACATTTTTCAGGGTCCCAAGATGCATCTCTTGACCAAGTTTGATGATCGTAGGTTTGAAGGTAATCAAAATATGCCTTTTAAACAATTTGAAAACAAATGCCTGCAAAATTCTAAAAGTAGGTCACAGTGACCTACTTTTTCTTAAATATGTTTTAAGGTCCCATGATGCAGCAACTTACAAGATTTGATGATTCTAACCCTTTCAGTGCCTGAAATAATGGGATTAAATGTTTTAAAAAGGATAAGTCATAAAGTTCAAAAAGTAGGTCATGGTGACCTACTTTTAAGTTGACGTTGTTCAAGGACCCAAGATGCATCAACTGACTAAGTTTGATGATCATAGGCCTTAAAGTATCCAAAATATGCCTTTAAATCAATTTGAAAACAAATGCCAGCAAAATTTAAAAAGTAGGTCACCGTGACCTACTTTTGAGTTAACATGATGTGAAGTCCTAAGATGCATCAACTTACAAGATTTGATGATCCTAGTCCTTATAGTAAGCAAAATATGAACATTTTTATTAATTGTAAATTTAGGTAAACTTTAAAGTGACCTTGAGACCACGCCCTTTGCCCCAGGGTCATGCCTTGAACAATTTTTAATCTTCAACATATCCTGATCCTTGTATGTAAATTTGGTGAAAATCAGCCTGGTGGTTCTCGAGAAGAAGATTTTTTAGCAACCAGTACTTTTGGTTTTGTTTTCCTGATTATCTCCCCTTGTTTCAGGGTCCCAACCCTTATTTTAGTATAAATGGTAGCCCTTGGGCCAAGGACACCCTGTGACAAATTTGACACGGATTGGCCAAGGGGTTCTTGAGTTATGGCCCATATTCTAAAAAGTTAACGCACACCGCACACCGCACGACGCACACCGCACAAATGGCCATAGCATTAGCTCTTTGAGCCTTTGGCTCAGAAGAGCTAAAAATATACCCGGCAGTCTAATCTATTTACAGTGAATTCAACTGGGCTGAAAAATGCAGATATTCTACGATTTGAGGTACATGTTAAGGGGAAAAATGCATAAATTTAAGATAACTGGGTCCTTTGGAAATACCTTTGGTATTCAAAATCAGGTATCAATGCAAACCAAGTTTTAATAATGTTTGGGTTTTTTTCTTACTTAACATGCTAAAAATTGCACAAGTTTTAAAAATTAAAAAAATCAGTCCTTACATCAAACATTCAACAATGCAGTGATTAAAAACAAAACAATCTCAGAAGTATATATATACAGTCATATAACAAATTTGTTCTAAATGTATTTATTACAAGGTGTATAAATGGTTTTCAAAGCAACTTTAAACAAATTAACATATAATTATTCCCTACCTGTGAAATTTGAAATTTACAATCATGTCAAGTAAATTATATACAATACCTTAAATATTACGTTATCAGTATATCAAATATATTATAAATTTTATTCATTATTTTCTTTCCTGGTTTTATAGAAAACAATTATTAATATCACTTAAATCTTTATAAATTCTAATCATGTTTCACAAAGTTTATAAGAATTTAATCCCCTACTTTTTTTTTTATACTTTGACATGTTATTATTTACATTTTAGCATAGATACAATGTCATGTACATGCTCTTCAGAAAGCAAATTAAATAAAAGATGATGGACAAATGCTTGAAAAATCAACATCTACACAAAAAAGTCTTGAAGTTTGGTGTGATATTTGCAAAAATTTATATGTGATCCACAACCTTTGAAAAAAATGAGAAAAGGACCAAATATATCTCAACAACATAATTAAAAGAAAAACACACAACTGTTAATATCAACTCATGTACAGAAAACACAAATATTCATCACTGAATCTTCATAGGCACCTAACACATCTCCTTTACTGTAAATAATGCATGCATACAAATGCATACTTGCAAACGTATGTACATGTCTCAGAAATAAATTTTCTTTCATCAGCAAACCCTTGCCTTTTTTAGCATACATACTGTACTAAACAATTAATCAAATAACAACGTGTTTATTTTCAAACTAAAAAAAAAATAACAATATTTGTTCTGTACCCATGTGTACAGGAATATAGTACATGTATATGAAAAAAAGTTATAGTGTGCAGGGCTTGTTTCAAGGTTTGGTGAAACCTTATGAATAATAACAAAATCAGAAATATAAATAACAGATATAAAGTAATTCAAACTATTACTGAAAGCACTTTTTTAGTATTACAAGGAAATTAATTAAACAGTAATATGTGTTTCATGTATTTACCTAAAATCTTTGTACCACAAAGAAATGGCTCAATATCTAAGTACAACTATTATGCTGATAAAACCAAGTTTTATTTTTTTGATTGTACTACCTGTTTCAAAAAAGACTAATGCAATGACAAAAATCAAAGGATATACAGTCAAAATCTTGTCTTCTCGAACTTGATGGGACCGAGGAAAAACTTTGAGGTATTTGATGATATCAAGAAAGCAAGGCCAAGGGTAAAATATTTACAGAATAAGTGGTTGGGACTTCAAAATAACTTTGACATATCCATGATATTCGAAATACTCAAGTTCAACTGTATATTTATAGTTTGGAGTCATTTCAAAAACTTATTTCAAACTGAATTGAAGCAAACATTGTTTGAAAAGGGCAATTTACATCAAATGTTTTCTCTTCAAAATTCAAGATTTCAAATACAGTGTTGAAAAAAAATTCTATAACAAAAAAAACTTTTCACGTTGTCAGTGTTACAATTTTTTTTTTGTATTAGGGTTGGAGAGGCTTTTTCATACTCAGATGACATAAAGATGACCTTATATATCAGGGTTAACAAAACTCTTGTATCCCCCCTCAGAGGATCGTCTCAGTTTCACACAGGTCAATATAAGACACACTAATGTCACAATCAGGACGACTGCCAAAACTATGGAAATTATCTCCGCTGAAAAAAAATAAAAATGATTAATGAACATTAATGAAAAGACAATTTATGCAGTTGCACAAAACTGCTGGCAAAAATTTCAATCCCATGAAATTTTGTTTTTCTAAGAAGAATTGTAATATTCAAATTTGGAATACCAAGAAATCATGGAAATTTTGTCTTGCTAATATAAAACACATGAGACTCTTGCCCAAATAACGTGTGTGTCAAAAATTTGTTGTAACTGGCAGTTATTGTTTAATAATACATGTAGTTAAGATGATGTCACATTTAACTGACAGTGGTTGCTTAAATGTACCCAGAAGTTTAGTTGATATCAGATTTTTACGTGCCCGGATCGATAGATCCAAGGCGTATATTGTTTTTGTCCTGTCTCTTTGTCTGTCTGTCTGTTGTCAACATTAACCTTCGCCATAACTTTTGATCCATGAGAGGTAGAGACTTCATATTTGCTATGCATACTCCACCAATGAAGGTCTTTCAAATGACATCAAGGTCAATGACCGTGTGACCTTGACTGAGACCTATATGCTAAAAATAGCTTTTTCGAGCTTTCGCCATAACTTTTGAACCATGAGAGGTATAGACTTTATATTTGGTATGCATACTTCACTAATTAAGCTCTTCCAAATGACACCAAGGTCAATGGCCTCGTGACCCTGACTGTGATTTATCTGCTAAAAATATTTTTTTGAACTTTGTTGTCGCCGGGCGCATAGTGTTTCACAAACACATCTTGTTTTTTACTACAGTTGTAACAAATGAATTTCACTTTCCTAAGAGTTATATCCTGTTGTCGGCGTAACTCTCAATTTTTCCACTTTGTCCTTTGTAAGTTACCTGTTAATATTTTTAATCCTCAAACGTAATCGGACAATTTCAATCTGTACCTGTATTGCCAGAGTATGAAGCAACATGAAAAACATAATGAGCATATTCATACAGATTTTATTGCCAAGATACTGACCCATAAAGTTGGTAAGGTTATAAAGGGAAAACAGTGCCTTATGCCGGTTGACCCCAGATTGACCCCGCAAAGGGGAATAATTAACTTTTGTAAATGTGAAATTGAATTTCGTCTATTAGATATAAATGGCAGTAGAAACTTACATGTAGTTAAGTGGATGCTGGATTTTTTTGAGTGATGATGGCTCTCACATTCTCTCCTCCAGTCCTTTGGTACTGCAGCTGCTGTCAGTGTCAGAAATTTACCCAGCTCACAGCGCTCATCACATCCTTATCAAAGAATAGGAAATTATTTTTTTAATTCTAGCATAAAAAAAACACACACTATTAAAAATTTGAACCATGAAAACTAGAAACAAAAATTTTAATTCTTTTTTAAAATGGAAATTATATCTTAATATAAAAAGGATACACATAATAAATGAATATTAAGAGCTTTTTTTTATTCAACTTATTAATAATTTCTCTTTTCTTCTTACAGCTAAGTCTTTTATAAAGCTTGGAATGATTTAATGGATTATTCCAGATTGTGTGCATAACTTGAGGAAATGGAGTTGCTCAGAAATGAAAAATGCAAAAGTAATTCTGAGCTTCAAGTAGGCAAAACTCGAAATTTAAATATTATATGTAATAGATTACCATATACTTATGAAATGAATGTGCATATAGTAATTGGGTATTTTGAATTCCTACATTGTAAGGATTTCTGGTAATTAAGTCATGATCTAACATGAGTTTTACCAGTGAACATCTTGGAAGTCTTTACACATATAACCATTCAGAAGCAACTGATATGTAAGTAATTCATATGCATCAAGTTGCTTTAAATTTTCACATCCACACATGTAAATGTAAATGAGATACATTTGCCAAGAGGGAAACATTTTACTGCCAAGGGGAGAACCATAAATTTTAAAGGAATAAACAATGATGAGGAAAGGCTGGTTGAGAATAAATATTATTTGGGTTTATGACATGATAAATATAAGGTTGATTACCATAATAACTTTATGACTGATACTTCACAGTATACATTGATCATCACAGATATCAGGAATAATTATATATCTTATCCACCTACCTTCCTACTTACAGTATTTACTCAATATGTCTCGGCTGATGATAACCCCTCAAAGCTAACAGCCAAAATACAGATATGGGATTTATAAATAACACATTTTCCTGTTGTGCTCGATGGCATTTATCTCAATTATTCCAAAGGAAAAAAAAAACTTATCAATCTCTACCGTAAGTGTTTCGGATATCAACTGAAATAATTGATTTTTTTTATCAAGTGGTAAGAGTAAGGCAATCTTAGTCTGCATGGGCAACAACATTGATATCTAGGTGGGGGCGGGGGATAAAAATTGAGTTTCTGTTATGTTACGTTTTTATTAAATAATTTTAAATCACAGAGACTTAATTGACATTTTTAAAAGAGTCTGAATCAAAAATCTCACCAAAAAAATCAGATAAGCCTAAAAAGTATAACGGTTACCATCATTGTAAATGACTACATGAATAAGTCTGAAATCATCAAAAAACTCATACAAAAATATAAAAAAGTTTTCTGACCTTCAAGTTTAAGAATCCTAGAGGCATTAGAGTCCTTTGAATGGTTGTCTTTGTAATGTATCTCCACATAGTGGTAGGTGGCTGTCTTATACAGTTCTAACATCACGGACGCGGCGTACACAGGACTGGTGGTGATGTTCTTATACAGACCTAGAGCACTCAGTAAAGCTGCCACAGTTGTATCATGCTACAAGAAAAACATCAAATTCATGCTTTCATCTTTCTATAAGGACTTTATCTTTGTGACCTTCATTTTTCAGACATAGAGCACTCAGTAAAGCTGCGACAGTTGTATCAATTTACATAGACTTTTTCTTCGAGACCTTCATTAGGTGTGTATGTTTATAGTATATTGACAATTTTGAGTATGAATCTGGCGTACATACACATGTACCATATAAGCCCAACATTTTGTAATGCCACAAAATAGGTATTTGTTGGAATATTTCAGTTTATAATGCCCAGAAAGACAACCATACATCAATCTGATTACAATCAGATCTTTCTCAAGAAGCTCTGAAACTGTCGCTGTAAAGCAATCGTCAGAATTTCGGAATGCAAAAAAGATTGTACAGCGACCATCAGAATTTCAGAGCGTAACAAAGATCCAATTTAAATCAAATTTGATTTGATTTTATTAGATTGATCACTACATGCTACGTGTGTAAGTTAACAAGGTGTATCTTACCCCAGAGAACATATAAAGCCTTGGTCCTGTGTAGTTCTTCCCAGAAGAAACATTGACCATGTTATCTCTCATTTCTTGCAATAAGGGTCCTTAAAAATATAAAAACACAACATTTTACTTCAATCAACTGAAATTTAAAAAAAACAAAAAAATTTCTTTTGCAATAAAGGTAAAAAATATATTAAAACTGTGCATATTAAATTTTAAGTATATCTTTAAAATTTTCTTTTGTCTAATCTATACTCTGTTGAAAAAGAAACTGATTCAGTCTCTCTTTTCTTTTCAAAAATTATCTTTTTAAAATTTGACCATGACTTGCCTCCCTTTAATTTGGCCATCTCTTTGCTATAGTACAGTAAGTGGAACTGCCAAGCCTCTAGTTGCCTGAGTTTATCATACACTGTAGAATTTTCAAATTTCTGCAAGGCCCAGGGATCTAAGGTCATATTATGCGCTTTCTGTGATATAAAGAAAAAAAAAAGTTTTTCAAGGTTTTAAACAAATAATCATTCAATCAGACAAGTACAATTTATTTTCTAAAAGTTCATAATTGATGATTTTTCTACATATTTTTATTTTATTTGTATATTTTGATTTCCAGTTTTTTTTTTATCCGTAAGAAAATCAGTGACAAAAATTTCCTTGGTATGAACAAACTTCCCTGTGATTATTAAAAGAATTTTTTTTACACGTTTATTCTCTCCACTTGACATTAATACATATTTTTCTAATCAAAAGATAAAATAAATGCATACCCTATTAAAATGATTAGATATAAATATAAATAAGGATTTAAAAAAAATATTAAGATATGTAACATTAAGTACCTGTGGTTCTCTTACCTTATAAAATTTCAAAGCATATGCCAATATTTAGGACAAACCAACCAAAACTGACAAGTATCCCTCTTAAATAAATATCAGCATAACAAGGGCATAGCAAAGCAAAGCATCAAATTGCAAAGAGCATATCTATAAATCCAGACAACATTGAACATCAATCCCACAATCTAATTAAATTAGGTGCAAGATCCACTCCCATACTCGCTACAACATCCCATTGAGGGTCACATCTGAGGTCAATTCTATCAACCAATCAAATCATTGCCTGAAAAATCATCATATATTTTGTTGAAGGAAATAAATCTATAGTTGTTCTCAGGGTTCAACACTAACATTTTTAGGCTTTGGTCCGGCCGGACTAGTGTTTCTTCACTTTTACTAGTCCGCGGGCAATTTTATTAGTCCGTCAAAAATATAAATAAATAAATAGAATTAATGTTGCAATGTACTTTTTATACTTTTCTGAAATAAACAAAGCATTTACATGGAATGTTTATACCAAGATTCGTTGAAATCGCGCAATAAAGATCGTATTCCCTATCTCATTCATTTTTTTCTCTACATGATTACATCATCCCAACATCCGACATCTTTCTTTATGTGTCATACTAAATCATGATAGCTAACATGTTTAATTTCATACCTATGAGTCCTAAAATTAAGCACCGAATTGACTCAGAATTACCTAACTTCCCGCCAAGAAGCTAGAAAGCTAAAAATAAATACGGGGTTTTCCAGTGAAAGTGTCGAGTATTTGAACATCGGTAAATTCTTTTCTTTCCCAGAAAACTTTACTAGTCCGTTCGGACTAATAAGCTACAAATTTTATTAGTCCGAATGAAAATGTATTAGTCTGAGACTAACAGACTAACGTTAATTCAAACCCTGGTTCTGAATTTCACCTCTCTCTTTGAGATGTTGCTAGATGTTGTGTAGTGAGTATGCGGGAGTATCTAACATGTAATTTTAATTCGATTGTCAATCCCAATGATGCAAATTACGTCCTTTCTGTTTTGCATAAAAGGAGAAACTATCCCCCCCCAACCCCCTTCCCCTTACACACAAGTCTGTTACTCTTTCCTTTCCAACTCTGTTGTTAAGGTGTGAAGGGATAATTATATATGTATATAGTCATTTAGTGTTGTATTCAGTAAATACCTCACAGAACAGTGTATCTGCTGGTTTCCACACATTTCGGATGTTGACTTGTGGATACCCCGTTTCATTCTGTATCAGCTCATAAAACGCCTAAAAAAGCACAATCAAGAAATGGATAAAAGATATTTAAATTGACAGCATTTTTATTTACTTCAAATAAATATTAAAGAAATGTTTTCCTTTTAAATAATGAGTAGTCTAAAAGAATTGTTAAACCTTGCTTCCATTCATTTGCATGTTAAAAATATCTCAAAATGGCTTCAATGCTTTGAAATCTAAAAAAATATACGGTATGATATCATTTATGGTACGACTGACTTTCATATATGACACAAACACCGATATCCTATTAGGAAGTCGAACAACACCATTTTAGCTTATATGGTACTTGTCACACTAGATATATGGTGTGCATATTTTTCCTAACAGTTAGCAACTCATTTTTAAAATCAAGAATGGTGCTGTATACTTTAAACCAACTTTTATTTGCGTGCGAGAAATTTTCGCGAAGTTCACGAGAGCCTTGTCATTGCGATTATTTCTTGCCGCAAACCGGTCCTTAAAGTGTATGTGTCTATTAACAACAGATCAGAACAGGCTTGATAGCGAAAACTGATCAGTCTTCACGAAAACTCACTGGTCCGAAGACCGAGGCCAGTGAATTTTAATGTCGGGTCAGTGAAAATCAAAATTCAAGAAGTCCGATGGGCTTGTTGATTTTAAAAATTATACACAGTCAATATATATTTTAACTGACTTACTTGCTTAAATTTCATTAATATTATAAAGTAAAAAGAACAAACACCTGTTGTTGAATCGTATTATTATAACCTGGATGTATTACGTAACAACAGGAACTAGCTAGTAACTTAACTAGTACGTAAAATGTGCGAATTTCCAACGAACAACTTACAGAAACGCGACAAAGGATTAAAAATGGTGGCATTTTGAAAGTTGAAGTGCGTAAACATGTATTAATTTACAGTTATAAAAATGTATTTATTTTATTTTTTCATCAAGGGGCCAGTAAAAATTTTGGTGGGCCAGTACATTTTGAAAGTTCACTGGTCCGACTGGCCAGTTAGTTTGAAAAGTTTTCGTGAAGACTGACTAATCGTTGCGAAATAGTTTATCCCTGGTTAATCGCGAAATAAAGTCTTCGCGAATAAAAGTTGGTTTACAGTATAGATATTTACCTTATTCTGATCTTCCTCGGCCTGTACTTCTTTAGACGACATCGTCTCTTCGTACAAGTCATTGTACCGTGAACAAAACATTCCCATATTAATTACCTGTATAAATTAAAAGAAAATTAGAATATGGAAGTTAATTATCTAAGTGTATGATATAGTTCAAATGAGTAAGCAGTGCAGGAAGAGATAAAAATAATTAATAAACTTAGACATCAATCACTCCAAGGTTATATAAATCATTATTATCATGATTATGATGAGGCTGAGCTACAAAATATTATCTACTCATTCAACCACCAACAGAATGGGAGAGGATTGTATATTTGGACTTTTATCATTATTTCCATAATATTTAGTTCTCAAAGAAGTAAGCAATGCAGGAAGAGTTAAAAAAAATCAGATATTAAATACATCAACCACTCTAGGGTTACAGGTTAATATTGTAATGATTATGATGAGCTACAAAATATTGTCTACACTTTCAACCACAGACAGAATGGGAGAGGATCATATATTTTGACTTTTATTTGTGATTATGAGGAGGGGAGGATCATACATTTTGGCTGTGGTTGGCAATGATTAGTGAATACCGGTACCTACATTGTCTTCTTTCTCTGGCCGTGTGTGGACAGGAATGGGCTGCCATGAGAGGGAGGGGTCAAACTTCTCCTGGTCAGATGGGGGATAGAATCCGGCCAGGTTACTGTAGGCAGACATCAAACACCGATCCTCATTGGAACTCGCTATCTCAATCTGAAATCGATAGAGGATTATGGTTTATTAAACTTTTATAATAGGGCATTAGGCAATAGGAATTGACAATCATACTAACATTGTACATGATGTAAACCGTACACAAATGTTATATACAATGACTGTGTAATATTTTTGTCATAATTTTTTTTTATCTTTTTCTGGATAAAATGCCACTGAAGTCTTTTTGGATATTTTTTTTCCAGTGGTTAAATTAGATACCTGTTATTCATTTACCTCATTGTGTTTATAAGATTCATTCAAGAGAGCTTTTTCTGTCATATACCGATTTTTGAACCACTGACCGAGCTGGTAATGTTGTTTCATTCCCTCCTGTATGGAATAAATAGACATCCAAATAAAAGGAAATTTTAAAACTTAATAGAAAAAGAAACAGGGGAACAATGTGAGAAAACAGAATTATATGCACATGCTTTAATATGATGAAATTGAAATGATTCAATGACATTGAGGAAAATTCAACAATAAACATAATACCCTCAACATGGGCAATACATGTATGTTTAAATTAATATCAGACTGATCTTGTTTATAAAGCACACCTTTGAAAGCCATCCTAGTCCATTTGGCCAGACATCTTCTTTGTGTGAATCTGTTGGGAAAACTACAATAGGAGACCTATCTCCATGGCGATAAACCTAAAATGAAAATGAGGAAAAAACCTATTTTGACATCAGTTGCATATTAGGAATTGTGAAAACTGTAAATATTTGGTTCATATTTATCACTATTCAGTAATCTCAGTGATCAAAACTTAAAATTTTATACTGGCGACCCTACGTTAGAATATGAGTAAAAATATAATTCTGATAATATAGTGCCTACGAAGCTTAATGAGTCAGGCATTTTTTGTTTGAAAGCCCAAAAGAACACACCACAGACCTCTTAAAATATAAATTTTGGGTACAGTCCCGCACTCCAAAAGTTAGATACTTTCAATTTCCCCTAAAATTGGCTCTGAATCGGAGAGGGGGTTAAAAAGTTGTTGCATACTTGGTGTACATAACTGGTGTATTTATATATTAGCGAGCGTCGCAAAGCGACGCTTGTGACTGCATTTAGCTCTAACTACAACGCCTAGGCGAAGAGAAAATTCAGACTACTGCACATTCATTCCATAGAATTTGTTCCGCAGTAATTTTGACCCACAATGCATTGCTTCGTACACAAACGCTAAAGCTATGTTCCCGTGAGAATAACAACAAAAGTTAAAAGAAAAATAAACTTGCCTTACTTTAATGAATTTATCTGTTTATTGCAGAAAAAATAATCATAAACTGATTGAAATCAGCCCTGTTCACATGGTTCAGGCTTCGGTTTGGTAGAACAACATGCAAACGACGTCATGTGACGTCAGAGTCTTGATATGCACCGAATGTCATGTCACGTGCGGTTTGACAAGTCCGATCTAAATGAAAACTGGGTAAGTATCTGCGCTCGCCCTAACGGTCGCACTGTCAACATATTATATGAACTGGTAAAAATATTACTCTGATCAATCATATCATGTTGATAGAAATTCAGAGGCCTGGCCTGTAATCACACCGATTAACTTACCAAATTAACCATTACAAGCTCCCCTTCCTTACCCACGGATAGGTGGATACTAAACAGACATAACAAAGTTACAAATATTCTTTGAAATCCACGAAAAGCCATGCCGTTTTAGTTCCTCATTAACTGACGATCTAGTAAATGTTGAAGAAGTAGAAACTGAAAATACAGTACATCACATGATTTTTGGCATCCCGAGCCCGATCTGAAATACAAATCATGCATGGGTACTTCATTTGATGTTGTTGTGTCTGTAGAGTAGACATCTGTATCTGAATACGCTCATAACATCGAAAATCGCTGAAATTCGCACGTTATTAATTAATTAAAACTATCATGAGTGATTTTTATGGATTATCTCGATTTTTATTTTTAATTAAAAACACATGAAACCAATTTCGAATTTTGTTTGCAGTACATGTGCATGTATACGAGACGGCCCAGTGTCAACCTCTCATTAATAAAGCTTCATAATATAATCTTACTCGTACCGACGAATGTAATTCATAGACAAATAACTAATTTGTATGAATCTGAAAGGCTTTTCATTATATATGGGTTATTTTTTTAATGGCGGTTCTGACCAAAAAGAGTAATTTAAACATTCATATGTTAAAATTATCCTTTCATTTTCATTTCACAGTCGTAGAAACGGACCGGGGTCAAAATTAATTAAAAGTTGTGTACCGGGATGGAGTGGAGATTGCACTATTTTTCGTTCCCAGTGTAACAAGGGCACGGGTTCGGATCGAGCTTGCAAGCCACGTACCATCCCCCCCCCCCCCCCGCAATTAATTTAACCAGAATATAGGATGCAATATATATATATGGAGCACAGCAATCTATTTTTCTTTGTGCCTCAAATTAACGTTTAACTCTAATAATTATTCATCAAATTAAGGAATTTTTGCTTGGTAGTGCCCCCTTAATTATAAACTGAAACATTTGGTTCTTATACCCCCCCCCCCCCGAAATTGCTTCCTTGGGCATGTTAGGCCTGATACAATTATATAATTCTAGTATAAAGCATGTATATTATATGAAGTTATGATTCATTAATTTCTTTGATATCACACATCAATGAAAGTAGAGAATTGAGGATACTGTACCCTGTCTTTATGATTTCAAATTGAACTCACCTTTAAATAATAGATTAGGGCTTTTTCATTAAGTGTAAATTGAATGTGATTCATTTAAACAAATTAAAATCACCTGGTAAACTAAATCTGGGATCGATCCGCAACTGCAGTGCTTTACTTTTATTTTGCAACATTGTGCTTTATGTTGTAAGTAATGTTATCAATCTACAATGTAAATTATATAAACACCATCACGATAAATGTATCCTTTTTAGAAAATAACAAAGACCATGCAAAAGTAACCCGACCTCGCACTCACACGCATCTGACGTTACATATTTTCTTTATAAGAAAATAACTAAATCATAAGAAAAATACGTAAGTAAGAAAGTAAGGGTTTTCATGTATTTCAGCACTTGGAATTTCTATGCTTGGAAGTAAATTTATAGTATTGGTGCTTTTGTCCGGCAGTTTTCCGTAAATGAAGCCGATACCACGAAGCTGTCTGCATAGTCCAGTTGCTTGCTTGTCAAGATCTTATATAAACTGCTACACAGATAAGGAACCTTGATCAATCTAACATCTCTCGAACCGTAAACGTGACAAAAACAGACCCTTCAAACAACCAGAGGTGGGATCAGGTGCTTTTACGTGTAAGCATCCACAGGCGCTTTAGGCTTTTAACGTTTCTTTTCATAAATAAAAAAAATCTCCCATTCTATATATAAGTATAGGGAATTTTTATTTATGAAATGAAAGGTTAAAAACGTCAAGCGCCTATGTAAGCATCAGACCACATCCGTATTTACTGAGCCCCATGTATAGAGCAGGTCGATAGATTACTCCGTATTCAAACTTAATGTAAAAATCATGACCTAACAAAAATAATTCTTTCATTTCAGACAAAAATTAGTGACAGATGGTATTTACAAACAAGGTCATTAAATTAATAAAACGACCATAGAGTTTGCGAAAAATGAACTTTAAACGGGGTTGTTGAAATCCTTGTCTGTATGTGGAAATGAAATGAACCCTTTCTCGGTTCTCAGGTATAATATCATTTTGTTGATCATTGTTGAAAACCAAGGCGAACATTTTACTGTGTTTTAAGGACGTCTGTCTTCTTACGGTTTTCTGTCTGTATATTTCGGAGGAGCTTGCATCAGTATTGACAGTTTGCAAATGCACTCTTTACAAGCAACAGAATTATATGATGTATTGTCTGGGTTAAGATATCGGTAACATACAACATAGATGCAATAAAAGTCGATCTGAATGTTGTTCATAACAGCTGATTTGGTACAGTGTTTCTTTCTTATTTCCTGTTGTTTCTAGTAGCCATTCCCCTTTCTTCGCGAAACTCTTAATTACACTTATTTGTTACCCCTGGCTCTTGTCGGAATGTCCTTGGATTTGACGTGCTAGCTTTTGAAGATCTTTTACCTTCGCCATAAGTTTAAGCTGTCATAGAGGATCATCGATCATCAGTCTTTCACAAATGAAAAAGATCATGTTTTAGTACTAACATTTCAAAAAAGGACCTTAATCACTTAGTTTTATACCCCATAAAAGAAGATTCGGCGCAATAGCTTTTGCCTTGTCCGTCCGTCTGTCTGTCCGTCTGCCTGTTTATTTGCTAAAAACGTTAACATTGCATGCTCGTAATCTCTAGTTGTTTGGTGCTATAACATTGATATTTAACAATATTTATTCCTTGAGAACAAGATGTCTCTGTGGGTGTTAACTCATTTTACATTTTGGCTCTGACCTTGACCTTCTTAAAAAAATTATTTTGATCATGAATTTGGAATAGTTGATGCTAGGGCTTTGATATTTCACATGTTTATTTTTTTTATAACAATGCCTTCCCCTGGGTACCTTTTATTTGAATTTTGACTTCAAATGACCTTTAATGAGTTGTGCACTGGCTTTCACATTTCACAAATATATTCATCGTGAACAAGGGGTAACAATATTTTTCATCCCTTGACCACGGAGTTTAACTTGCATTTCGACGAGTTATAAATCTTTTAGCTAGGATTTACTTTCAGGTACGTGACGTTACTTATTTTTCTTTTTAAGAAAAAAATATACCCCCATGTCAGGTGCATGCATGTGTATTTAAGTAACTGTCTCCTGTGTAGCATCCATGTATACGTGTACAAGTTAGCTCTCTTAGTTTAAAGTTTATGCTCCTTAAAAGTCGCCACTGTAAATCCGAGTTCAAGTAGAGCACACTAACATTATGTACACTATATAAGTATAATTAGCTCTTACTGATCGGACATTTCCGGACTACCTCGACCACATTCTTTACTAACTACTCCCTCGAATATTTCCACGGATTTCAAAATTCCGAACATATTTAATCAGAATCACAATTCAGAATATTCATCAATTGTCATGTGTTTTAGATTATTTTTGAAGTTATTTTGACAAATAAATTACATCAAACACACTCGGGATATTATCAGCATAGACTACGAAAGCAAATTGAAAGTTTGAAAGTGAATGTGTATGTGTGTGGGGGTGGGGTGTGGGGTGTGTGTGTTTGGTGGGGAGGGATGTGCCGCTGATTGAAAGAGGAGGGGGCAAACCAGCAAAAATGTAAGCCCTAATTTTCAATGCTTATATTATGTCTAATATCTTTGCAAAAAATTGGAGGGCTAAGGTTTAATCACAAATATTACATGTATTAGTTATGAAGAAATTCCATCCCTAATTTAATGCATCAATTAACCCATAACTTATCATAATTTTTTTCCTTGCACGTCAAATCTCCCTGTGTCAAGTTGCATGCATGATTATAAGCTTAACAATCATAAGGCTAACTTATATAAACATTTCAGCGATTTTCTCACTATTATATAGTGAAATCGTACATCCATTGACACTGTGATTTGGTGCGTGCACATAACATATCCTTGAGCGCAGTCAAATGGTCAGTAACAATTCAAAAGCGGAAACAGCCAATGACGCAAGGCATTGTTGACATTTGTCCACTTTAAACCCAATTTCGTCCTGCAGCGCACGCCACTTAACCGAGGTAGGATAAAATTCTGTCTGTTTTTCACTAATTGATTTTATTTGTCTAATATTGGAGCAGAAAATTGTGCCTGAAGCATTGTATGTATTAGCGCGTCTATAAATTGTTACTTTAATATATACAAACTCCGCATCAGCAACCCTGCAAATTATTGTGATAACAAAAGTATAGCAGTTTATTGGTGTATGACAAAATTTGAAATATGGTGAGTAGATGTAACAGCAGCTATAGGAAACTTAAATCGTGCAAGCAAAGTCATTACAATGTGGTGAATTGATTGCATGGATGATCATAATTAAAAAAAGAATAAATAAATAAATGCAAAAGTACATCCAATCCCTTACCAAAATACTCACCTTCTGGCAACATCTTCTGGCATTATTGCCGCAATATTGCAGCAACATTCTGGCAATACATTGCAGCAATATTGCGGCAATATCGTTTTTCGTATGTAAATTAGATTTGCGGCAATATTGCCAGAAAGGTGTTGCGGCAATGTTGCTGCAAAGCAATTGCAGTACATGTATTATTTCAGGTTTTGCTGCAGCAATATTGGGGCAACACTGCAGTACTACCTACATGTATATAAATTGGTATTTAATCGAAAAAATTATCTATCAGTCTAACAATTAACAAATTGTGCTGAGGAACATAAAAATCAATAGCATAATAAGCTACAGAGTCAGTAAGAAATAGCTACTTAAGCTTATGCTATTCTTTGAAAAGATAGAAAAAAATTTAGCATATAGCTCACAGTCAAAGTCACAAGGTCATTGACCTTGGTGTCATTTGAAAGAACTTAATTAGTGGAATACGCATCATAAATATGAAGTCTCTATCTCTTATGGTTCAAAATTTATGGTGGAGGTTTAAAAAGGCTACTTTTAGCATATAGATCACAGAAGAGGTCACTAGGTCATTAACCTTGGTGTCATTTGAAAGAGCATAATAAGTGGAGAATGCATACCAAATATAAGGTTGCCATCTTTCATGGTTCAAAAGTTATGTTGAAGGTTCAAAAAATCTATTTTAAGCATGGGTCACAGCCAAGGTTCTTGTCAAAG